TCGAGCATATGTATGTAAACAGAGACAATGCACTACTTCCTCTGTGTATTCAGATAACAACATAATGATTTCCGGGTTTTAGAACCCAAAACCACGGTATGATTGTGAAGGACGTCCAGGTGGAGGGTTCGGAAAATATTGACCATCTCTTGTTCTTTAGCACACACCTATAAATATAAATAAACGTGCCCCTAATGTTTCGGCCCTATCGACAAATGGCTGCCCCGAGCGGGATTCAAACCTGCGACCTTCGTTTCAGCATTCAGGCACCATACCCGCTAGACCACCGTGGTGGTTCTCTCTATGTTCAGACGGATCACGATTACGAGAAGACGTAATACTAAGCTGGATACATGCGCACGCACGCCTCAGCCCAGAAACTACTTTTGCGAATGCATTCATGAGGATGACGTGCTCAGAAGAATTAATGTTGGCGTCACGACGTGCTTGATGTTAATTTATGTTCTGAAATTCAGACACGTCATTAGTAGAACTAGGTCTTGGCTTAGCGCGTTTGACATATTTGATATTAAAAGGTAGCGCGAAAGAAAGATACGTTCACGTGGAACGGCATGCGAATCACGCAATTCTTCAGGCTACTGAGCTTATACTTCTTACACCGTAGCTGCAGTGTTCTCAATACGCATTGTTGGAAGTTCATAACGCCTTGGTTTGACTGAACGTGTTCACCATTTCTTTTTTTATATAATGTACCACTGCACTTCGCTTTGGGCAATCAAATCCATGAAGAAGTATCGGACACCACTGACTATAGGTGGACCAATTCCTACATATCTGAGCGTCAAGCCTGAAAACGCAAACTACGTGTCAACGCAGTGTGTAGCAGACAGACACAGCGCGTATATCTGTGCTTCATTCCGTGACCTCACCTGTCAGGATAGTCTGGTGGTCATTGTGCTCGACTGCTGGTATCGAATTCCGGCCGCAGCGCCATATTTTGGTGGAGCCAACAAATTAGAGGCCTGCGTACTTATAGCTTTAGGGGGACTTCAAATACTCCCAGGTGGTCAAAATGTCCGGACCCCTCCACTACGGCATCCATCATTATCATTCCGTGTTTTCGGAACCTAAAACACAAACAACAGTTATCATTACCTCATGCACCATCCTCGCGCGCTATTTTTACATTCAGATCATACAATTTTCAATTACTATGCAAATTGCATCTTCAGTGCGAGAAACCAGATATTTTTCGAACAGTTCTTTCTGCGTCTGATGGCGGTTTGTTTCCTCGTAGGCGCACAAGATGAACTTATGAGCAAGAAAACAACTACTATGACACACCAAGACGACGACGTCATATGCGCGTATGCACCAAGAACGCAATACAACGGCAATCGCTTCGAAAATGGAATTCACATTGTAACTAACCTGCAAAGTAATGAATCTCGGTTTTTCCAGGTCAGCTTCGGCCAGAGAAATCGAAGACACGATGCGAAGCCTAATCAATGTCTATCGATGCAATGAATACCGTACTGCAGTTAGGTAGAGCTGCCTTCAGAGGTTGCCAACCGCGCTGCGCACCAGTGTTTGCACAGTCACTGTAACCACGCATGCCAATCAAAGATAGCGGTGCCGGAGCCAACCAGCTGGCATTACCGAGAATAATCTGCGCAAAGCAGGTCATTCTGAGCGTGAGCGAAAGCATACATATCGTGGTGCCCACCGACTGAGCGACCCTTGCAGCGCAAGCCGTTTGTCTTTCAATCAATGCCAAGTGATATAGGCCGATATTTGGACAGAATGACACGCAAACTTCGGGAAGCTCTACAAAGTTCAAAAGAAAAAAACAAACAATCAAGATTTCTCACTTCCCTACGTCTCACTTACACAGAAATAAGTCTCTCTTTTCGGGTGCTCAGGTTTGTGTTATATATGTAGCGTAATAACTGGTATAGTCTGGGCCTGTTGCTCTGTTGATTCTTTCACGTCACTTGCGTATTCCTATTTATTTCCTGTCAAGCGATAATAAACTCAGTTGCTATTCGGCACTCTGTGAGTTTGCTTTCAGTTTGCTTCATTTCCTTGTCCCTCTTTTATTATATGATGTTTAGGAGACGATGACACTTTTGTATAGCACTGGTTATACTCCTTTTCACGAATGTTATGATATGGGAAAAGCACAGCAGCAAAAAAAATACACATAAATACCATCTAGGCAGAGTTCATATAAATTCATTCACAACATGACATAAAGAAAAACACTGACAGTCCCCTCACATAACACCTAATGTTCAGGCAAAATGCCGTTACACGACAACCATTCACGTTTTAAAAGAATATGATGCACAAAGTCTGGCCACAGAGCAGCAATTGAATTCAGAATGTCCCATCGTAGGGACGCAAATTGAGTTCTCACATGAAGTGACACCAATCCCGACAAAGTCAGGTCATACCATAAATATAAAATCAGTATAAACGAAGAGATTCTCAATAATTTTCAAGTTTGTCACTCTTCTAGGAAGTTTCTAACTATCTGTACAGTGTGCATTTTTATAAGACACTTGTTGGCGATAGACCTAGAACTATTTGGAGATTGAAGGGCCTATAGTCCAGTGCTATGGATATAAATTGCTGTCCTATCTTCTGATATCGCGGTCATCCCAATAAATTTGACTGTGCATCGTCGTACATGTGTCCACACAAGCATTCTGGACTTTCTGATCGTGAACTTTTGTGTAAAAAGTGTTTTGTTGTCAGCCTGAGGCGGTGCACCTGCGTTTCAAAGACACTGCTTACTTTTAACGTAAAAGGAATTCTGAATTCAAGAGTAGGATCACTGCAAAGTAGGCCTGGATATTTTGAATTTACATAGAACCCTGTCACAATGCAACCACAAGCTGACATCTGCCGAAGTATGTGTTGTATTTAATTCACTTTTTGTTGTGGGTATATTCCCGATGTATTATTTTTCCTACGCGTTTGTCCAGATTCTTCATCCACTGCAACAATACGAGGGACACTGCGGTGGCAAGGTATCCACTAAAATATCACTGTGTGCTTTTGCTTGCTTGATTTCATAACTTCTTCCAATGCTTCATCATCTAAGGCTGAATTTATCTGATTGATGCCACTAGTTAGTGACAATAACGCTGTCTGTGAATCACACAGGATGACCCATGTATTTGTTCGTGTTAATGAATTAACGATACTTAAGGAAGCCAATAATTCAAATAACTTTGCCGCAGTTGCCCCACTGAGGTGGTCTAGTGGCTAATGTACTCAGCTGCTGACCCGAAGGTCGCGGGATCGAACCCCGGCTGCGGCGGCTGCATTTCCGATGGACGCGGAAATGTTGTAGGCCCGTGTGCTCAGATTTGGGTGCACATTAAAGAACCCCAGGTGGCCGAAATCTCAAGAGTCCTCCACTACGGCGTCGTTAACATTCATACGGTGGTTTCGGGATGTTACACCCCACAAATCAATCAACTTTGCCGCAGTTGACGATGTACTGTAAAACAATATAAGTGTGGTGATTCTCTCTCGCTCTGGAATAACAACAACGGTCGTAGATGAATTGATTCGACAAGAACCATCCGTATAAACCTATACATAACTAGGATACTTGAAAGTTAGGTAGGATAAAGCCAGCTGCTATGCTGCTGCATGAAACGTCTCACTTCTCTGCGGACCCTTTTCACACTGTGCCAACTGGCCCTCTTGAAATGTGAAAATGGTTTGGAATGCATACTGCGAGGTTTTACGCGCCAAAACAACGATGTGACAGAAAACTCCGAATGGATTTTCACAAGCCGGGGTTTTTCTAACACGCACTTAGATAAGCGCACAAATTTCGCTCGCATTTCACCGACATCGAAATTCGATCGCCGTGGCTGAGAGTCGAACCTGTGTCCTCGAGCAATTATTATGGGTTCACAGTTATGAACTATCGATGATACCTTGCTGCTTTTCGGCATGCTGATCTATAGGTGATAACTGCCCATCCCTTCGATGAGTATTGAATGATGAAAAGGAGCGGTCGAACCCTGTGCAGTTTGAAATGCGACGTCCAGGAGGCCCTCTTGTGTTGGACAGAAAGGGTTGCGGAGGACTACCGTGCGTACCAACATCCCCATGCATATCTCTATCTTTTGCCCCTTTTCTTTCAAAATGATATATATATATATATATATATATATATATATATATATATATATATATATATATATATATATATATATATATATATAGAGAGAGAGAGAGAGAGAGAGAGAGAGAGAGAGAGAGAGAGAAGAGAGAGAGAGAACTCTGGCGCTAGTGTCTATGGGAGCTGCAACGCACGGCGCTTCAGCGAGCATCGGGGGAATGATCGGTAGTACCCTGATTTGTCTAATCTTCGTACTTCTGGCTCCGTGTGTGTTCGTGTGGCTTGAAGCTGCTTTCTCACGAAACAAAAATCAGCAAATGTTAAGCGCTTGCGCTTCACCGCCTTATTATTTTAGGTTTACCATTGCAAATCTGGTCACGAAGTTCCAAAGGGTTTGTTCTTTTCTTCGAAACAAAACCGAAACCAGCAACAAACGAAGCCACACGTACGGTCCGCCTCCCGCAAGCACGAAGACTGGGCAAATCCGTGTACTACCCATCATTCACATGGTCGCCGAATGATTGCAGCGCCAGAGTCCCCTCTAGTTAAATTTAGCAAACTCTATGGCCCGCTCCCTGTCACTGCACTAGCTTCAGCCCGAGCAAAGCGTGTGACCCTTCTCGAGGAGTACACCGCGCCATCAGGCGAAACGCACGAATGGGAAGGCCAGTGGACCGATCTCCTTGTCATCCGTCTTTTGCGTCGACGGTGATGGGCCAGACGCGCCGATAACACCCCGGCTGCGGTCGTAGCGTCGGCGCTAAGAACGATGTCGGAAGCGGGAGAGCAACGCCTTAGTTCGCACAACCTCCGCTACCACCGGGCAAGGCGCCACCGACGACAACACCGCCTGGCGCTCGCTCCTGCCGCTCTCTCGCATGCCGCCGCCGCCGCTGACTCGATCGCTGACTTGGGCGCGCGCGCGCACCGACACGCACGCATCCAACACGCGTGTTCGCCTGCTCCTCCGCAGAGTGGGCAAGGATAGAGTAGCGTGGCGTGAGGTGGTTGCGGTGAGTGCCGGTGGTCTCCTGGAGGAGGCGTGCGCTCTGGTTCTCCCGGCGTGCTTCGTCTCTTCAAGTCGGGCATCTCTGCGCGACACACTTGCTCCCGGTGCTCCCTTCTTTTTTACCCAATGCCGGAAATGTGCGCACACCGCGGGCCCACCAGCCGCCGCCGCTCCACGTGAGCTCGAAAGGGAATCACCGGCGCGACGATGTTCGCACGGGCAGCTACGCTGTCGCAGCGACTGCAGAAGCGCCGGCGTACCGGGCGCTTGATGTCTGATTGTGCGTGAAGACAAGCCGACATACCCGTCTCTCGAGGCCATCTTTTTTGAAAAGTGTTCCAAGTGTTTGTGACGATTCATTGGACGATGGTGCACCGCCGATTCGAGTTGGTCCTCTGTTGGTGCGCGCTGGTGGCAGCCGTCGGATACGGACACCTGCTCGTCGACAGGAGCGCCAAGCAGCGGGTGCAGGCGCTGCTGGCCCACCAGAACCCCATCAGTGCGCTCAGGACGTCGGCGCCGGTATCTCCGGTGAGGGCCCCTCGCGTCACTTTTTTAGTTTTTTTTTCACTCCCCTCACCGTATCTTTCTAGACGCTACCAAGTCAGCGGCCTAGGGGAGATGCCACAAGCGATATTAAGCGCGCGCGGCAGCCTTCAACCAGGCGTGATAAGGGCGAATCTGACGTTGAGGTATGCAGTGAAAAAAGGCTGCATTTGACCATGATCGGTACCACGTTTCGCGAGAATCACGTTTACGTGCTCTGTTCTATTCGCCGCGAGTGTTTCTTTTTATTTATTTTATTTTTTCGTGGGTATACTCTCGCAAGGCAAAGCTTAATGTGATCCACGCTCAAAGCGACATATTTATTTAATTCTGAATAAGCTTTCGAGAATTCACTACGCTCTCTTCCGTCATATCTTTTCTTTCAATATTTGGAAATCGGAGTACATGAAAAATTATTTCCCCGTTTACTTACGCAAGCACCGCCTTAATTGTAGTTCAAGTTCTAATTGTACGTATTTTCCAGCGCGCGCAGTATAAACGCGCGTCGTTACTGCGCGCAGTAAACTAGCCGCCGCTCGCATTTCAAACAACCTCATGAAAACACAGTTAAATTGATCCATCATTACTTCCCGCTGGAATCAACACAGATGCCACTAAAGGAGCAGGGAGCGATACCATGCAGCTTCCATAATGAAATCGGCGTCTTCCGCACGTGTCTAACGGAAAAGGCGCGCGCCTGACAGACACATCACGATTGTAGACAGTTAAAGAATCATTTTGAGCAGCTGTTAAAGACAAAAGCGCGCCCCGTAACATTTCAGTCGAACCGGTGACTTCCGCCGCCAACATGATTGTTCTCTTTCCATTTTGTGCGTGTTTGCTTTACTGTGACTACATTTCGAGAAAAAAGAACTTCGCACGGCCATGTCACGTGCCCCGCTGACTGTTCTTTCTTTTTTTTAATTTTTAACCACAATTTCAAATAAAGAACATCCCGAAATGCTATCACGCAGCGCGTCACAGTCCAAGTTTCACTTTGAAGTGTCACCGGACAAACATATTTGTCCTCGTGTGCCGTGACGTTTGATAATGTTTTGAGATCGGGAATCAGTTGCCCTAATTTAGCATGTAATAACTATGCCACGGCGCTCTGCGCAAAAAAAAAATTATACTCTTTCCAGCTCTGCTTTCTTATTTTTTAATCAATGTGCAGAAACTATGCTAGATCGCCTAAAGCATAAACTTCACGTCATGTAGCGGGAAGTTTCCCGTCGCACGCCAATGTGATGCCGTCTTTTCTTTTTTTTTTTGTAATTGTAGTTTCCTTGCCAACATCGCCCGCTACAAAACTGCGCGGGGGACTCGCAATGGTGGCATTACCTGAATACGCGGTCGCTGTAGTAGCGCTGATTATACGAAATAACGCTGTGTCTGATTTCAGATGGGGTACTTACGTCCTATCAAGATATATACACAAACAGCGTATTGCAGAAAACAAAATGTTTAATTCGTATTGTGCTGTTCCACGTGCTAGCACTTCAAAACACAGTTTCTTCCCCCGCACGATTGAACATTGGACTTCGTTACCGGCCGAAGTTCATTTATGACCCATTTCTCAACTTTTAAACGCTGTTGCTGGTGTGTATAGTTTGTATACATGGTCCAATCTTGTTCCTACTTACATATTCCTAGATGGTCCTATCTCTCACTCATCTCTGTATTGTGGGCAATTATAAGACAGATCTTCATCACCTGTACATAACCATCATCGCATGGTGTTCTTCATCTGCATCGCTTGTGAGGAAATCTCTTTTGTCTGTTGTGTGCCTCAGAAGTGACTGGTTTGGTCACGTATTCCAGGCCTAATAAAGACGTGCAAAGCACTATACGCCGCAAGTGGTGGAGGTGCGGGGTATAACTACATGTACACCATATCCTGTCAAACAGCTATAACGGCTGCGTTATTTATAAGTAATAATCAAAAACACATTTTTTTTTTTCGGAGGGTAATCAGTGCACTCACAGGATTTAACTTTCGCGTCGCGAAGCCTCGGAATGTTGCATACGAACATGCACGCTTTGCGAAATCAGCAGCACAGTCTGACTGCCGTTCGGTACGCACCTCGTTGACTACGCCGATGACGAGCGCGCAGGCAGCTATAGGGAGCTTCTCGATGTGCAATAGTTAATAATAATAATAATAATACGTTTATTTCATCATCATTGTGTACATGATGACAGGGGCCCGCAGTAAAAGCTGCAAAATCCGAGGATCGTTCCAATGAAAACTCCAACAAAAAAAAAACAGCTTGACTGAGCTGCTGACCCCTAACTTGGCGAACAGCAAGGATTCAAGAATAAAAAAAAAAAACACAACCAAATGTGCATAACATAACAGAAAAAGAAAAATGAAAGACACAATACAAGGAAGTACACTTTTAAGGCACAGAAATCGCGAGCAAACAGATAACAGGAATTATGAAAGAAAAAATGATAACTCTTTATTATTTGTCAATGTTTCAAGGGGTGCGTTTTTAGCTGCGAAGCTATTGAGCAGTCGCGGAAGCTGGTTTTCCAGGGTTTGCGTGCCGTAAGTTGTTCTGTATGTTTGAAAGTGCCATATATCTGTATTTCTTGTTCTGCATATATGTTTTCGCGGCTCTAGCAGAGCAATGTTACGAAGTAGAAATGTGTTATAGTTTCCTCCTCATTTCCCAGTACAAGGTAACCAACGCGTCTGCCCACACTCTTGCGACTTCCTGCACTTCATTCTGCCTTTCTATCACGTATCGCAACTCCATTCAACGGAACGCGCAACGTCGATAGTCTCGTGTCTTGCTCAACAGAACGGCTTGTATGTAGGAGATACCCGTACACAGTTAGCATTCACGCCACATCTGACACTCTATACTACGTATTGCGCGCGTGCAGGTGTTGGCTACGAGCCTCGCAGGTACTACGGAATCCCTCAGATTCTTATCAGAACTACCTTCAGCGATGAACATCGCCTATACACCGTTTCACAGATCGGGTGTGGCGCTTCGAAATCAAGCGGCCGAGACTTCTTGCAGTATAGATACGTTCGCACCAAGAAATATTGAAATAGTGCTATCACTTAGTGTGCGTGTTTGTATGTTTGTGTTAGTTTTTAAGACAGAAATAAAGAAACCCCCTCATTTATACTGTTCGTAATACGTTGTTCCGGATCGCTTACGTCTCTCTCTTTTTTTTTTTTTTTATTGTGGTCTCTGCGATTGGTTCCAATCGCAGAGGCCACATACACGACGACGAAACGGAAGAGCCAGACGCACGAAATTGCACATATTGGTCACAGGAGCACTTGCATAGCTTCCGCAGCGTTGTACCTGATGTGGGAAACACAGTGTATATAACGGGTCGAACTTGCGAGACGCAGTCGGCGGCGTGAAGATGTGTACCGCTCGCTTGAGGTCGAGGCCGTGCCTTCGGAGCGAGCTTCGCTTCTCCCACGATGTTTTGCCAAGATTGTCGGGCCCCGCTTTTCGTCGCCAGGGTCGCGTTGACGAGACTGTTTCTCTTTTCTCTCTCTTCTTTTTATCACTTTCTTGGCGTGTAAAGTTTCCTGCTCGCATCCTCGTCGCCCAGGCAGCAGCGCCCGCTCGCAAGCCCCGCCGCGGGACCAACTGGTTCAAAGCGTCGCCGCCAAAACTCTCGTCGCGCGGGTTTAACCGCGAAATCGGATGATGTGTCGGCGGAGTGAAAGCGGGAGCGCGACTCGGTGCAGTGATGCGCGTCGGCGACAAGATTACACCACCACGTCGGGAGGAGGAAAAAAAAGGCATGCATCGGCCCGACTTCATTTGTGGCATTCGCCGTTCCGCCCTTGTTTTGTGGGTACTATACGTGTACCCTTCGTGACGAAGCACGTGTAATACGTGATCCTATCTTGCTGTCTTGTGGTTACACGGAAATGCGCGACGGTACATGCACGTGTTTACGCGATTACCGATATGCACGCACATTTATTCTTTTTTTTTTTCATTTACGTATACCGCCTCTCCAGCTACGATCACCAGACGAGCAATAAATAATCGATTCCGTTCTGACGCGCGTTTCACCACGGGTGCACGGCATACCTAATTAATAAACAGCTGCAACCCGAGATAAGGAAACGGTCCCAATAATAGAGGGGATGGGCCCCTTGTCGGTATATAACTGACGACGCTTGCCGTGTTGCGAGTATAATCACAGGAGCGCCGGTAGTCGTTTTGCGAGCAGAGTGTGCATGTATTCTCGATCGATCACATTCGGAGACTTTCGGGCGAGTTTACAGAGGAAGTGGGCGTGGCCAACACAATGGAGCGACCCAAATTATCATTATCTCGACGTCGCCTAATACGCGCCTGCCTCCGGGGGATGGTACGTAGCTGCTCTATCGAGGCGTGTTCTGGGCGCTACCACTCGGTATCTGGAAGCGAAAGTGTACCCTATACCATGATCGATCAGGACAATCCTTTTTCCTTCCCCCTCTTCTTCGCGAACCGCACATTCTCGTTGCAGCTCATGTGAACGCAGGAACGTAACATGCGAAGTCTTGTGTGAATGGTTTAAGAGTGACGTCATACTGGTGCTTGGAAAATGTTTCGAAATTGATGACTGTATCTGCTGTTCTCCATAATTTTTTCGGATGTTACTGCACTCACTCGTTTTCAAGACAATGTCGCGGGACAGATCCAGGACCACGTTGCGAGTTCGTAAACCTTTTTCAAAAGGTTCTGACGAGAGAGAAAATGGGAGTTTTTATCGGGCAATGACTGGTTATTACTGCACCAGTAAAACTGCACCGACATGCAGAATTTCAGGCCAACAGCGCTATTCGAGACAGCCACGTATCAACAGCTTCATATCTTCCCCTACTGTAACACGAGTGGAATTTCGGTACGCACTTGCAATGCAGTTGTGTGACCAAATGCTTCAATCTCTGGCTGACCCACAGGTCACGGGATCGAATCCCGGCCGCGGCGGCCGCACATTCGATTGAAGGC